TAAAAAAACCCTTATAAACCATGAATTAGAGATATAAGACACTTCAATACATATTATTAATAATTTGTTCATATAACAAGATAGTAAATGAATTCACCTTTTTCTCGTGCTATCATAATCTTATTAATATATATTATAAACACAAAAGTTTGTACGTATGAATGTTTATTAGTCTTTCAAGCAAAAACTATTGAAGAATAGTTTATGTCATATATCTTTCATGTACTTACAAACTGCGATATGTTACTTTTTATTGTATGTACACTAGCTGTTCCCGCGACTTAGTCTGCGTGGAATTTAACTTTATTTTTCTAAAACAAAAGTAGCATCAGTTACTCCTTATTACATCAGCTATCTGTCAATAAAAGTCAAAATCGGTCCAGCCGTTTCAGAGATTAGCCGGAACAAACAAACAGACAAAAATTTTAAAAATATTATTTTGTTGTATTTGCCGTATTTATTTATTTATATGCATGTAGTAAAAACCGGTTATTTCAATATTACAAACAGACACTCCAATTTTATTTATATGTATATATATGATGATCACTATTTTGATTTTAGTTAGTCTCGCTTTCAGTACTAAGTAATTTAGCCAGTAAATAAAAAAAATCATTAACCGCTACATTTGCTTAATGACGGCCAATTTGCTTTTATTTACGATTCCAAAGTAAGAACTATAAAATGTTTACAGTCCTACATGAATAGCTTCAATTTTATTTAACGGAGAGCGATGGTCGCAATATGATGCTTGCATTCATTGTTCATTTGGTAACAGCACATTTACAGTGCAAAAACAATGGCTCAGCCTTTATTTGACCTTTATATTCAGGTTCAAATACAAAAGGTCAGAAATGTAATGATTATTATTGAGCAGGTTCGAATAAAGGGTGAGAGTACGTGCCTACAGTTATGTTAATATTTTTGGATTATATTTTAAAAATAGACTTACCTATATAAAATGAATACAGAACTAAACCACATATAGTTATTATGAGCGACTCGCGGCGTGAATTTTTATAATCCATGGCGCTTCAATGAGTGTGCTCAAACTAGTATTCCTAAAAACGTAGGAGATGCTTAGTAACTATTTCTTTATATAGATTCTTCTAAAGTTTTGTTTCTTTGTATTATAGTTCTATATATTCATCTCTATTTAAATGGTAGGTAGGTATAATTACTTTAGAGGATACACCAACGCATTTATTAATATTATTTATTATTATCTTTAACTCTTTTAATGTAATCTTTTCATATCTATTTAAAAGTAAGACACCTTAATCGAAGAAGTAAAGACTTATTAATAACAAATTATTCCCTATGTACATAAATCAGGTACATTGAATATGTAATATTATATTATCTGTGATTGTACTATACATACGTAATTTTGTATGTACTTTTGTTATACGCTATTCCACGGGTCCATTTCTTTCACTTTTCATTCACTGTCCATATATCAAATCGCATGCCTTGATAGAATTATGTTTTTAAAGTATGATTTTTCTGATTTTTATTAGCGGACCTCTTTTATTCTAAGTATTTATTACCTAAAAAGCCAATTGCTTACCAACTTTCACTAGGAAAACATTCAGTCTGCAATGTTAGAACAAACAATCTCGGAATTACAAAAGAAAAGAAAAATAAATGCTCCGTCGGCGCTATGTTAGCGCAACTAATCATGTTTGGCAAAAGAAAGGGTCAAAGAGACACCTGCCGTCCTATTTGTCAAAGTCAAGATATATCTACAAACGTGCACAGCGGCCCGATTAACGTGCTGAATTCGATTGAAATTTAACTCAACGTTAGGTCAGAAATATAAATTAACAAGATTTGTCCCGTCGGATAGATTCAGTTATATTAATGCATGAAGCAAAAACTTTGTACACCTTTTTACATAAATTACACGGATAGAGGAGTATGAAATTTCGCACACTTACAGTTTATATAAGTATAAAGATTTTTTTTAATGCGTAGATATATTAAATACATTAAATCAATAAAGAAAACGTTACTCACACTATAGATGATATACCATAGAAGTTATAGTATTTGACAATAGAACCTTGATAATTTTCAACCTCATAATTGAAATTTAATATTTTAATCAACGTTATTATACTTCATATTTAATTTTTTTCCTACTTTCAATTTGAGTCTGTAGTTATAATTTGATTGTCAGATAATTAAGTATTTATTCATAGATAGTATTTATCTGTATATATAATTTTATACCTATATTTTTTAGACGTGTCTCATATTAGTGTACCGCCAACAATCTTCCTCTGCTTCACGCTTAACTGGTAGATAACGCCACAAGGCGTTGTTCGCCATAATATGTACATTTTTTTTGTATACTGAAGTTAAATAGATAAATTATATTATGCGTACTTTTATCGGTATTTATTTAATAAAGAAATCATAGTATATCATTAAATAATTTACCTATTTAAATAAATAAATACGTTTGATTTCCAAATCAACTTACAACTGCCCGTCTATTTTCCGTATTCATTTCGTAAATCAGCAGGCTAGCAACGGCAAGGGTTTCTCTGTAAATTGCTCCTAATTAGAAGCGTCAATCTTAGTACTTCTGCTTCTATATCACGCCAATTGGATAACTAATTGCTTATTCTTTTACTAAATTTCGTGGAACTCTAATTCGGTAGTATTATGCATTATTATTTTATTAAAATAAATATCTGTCATAATATTTTTCTATCCTTTATCGTAATTTTTTATTAGATGTCGAAAGTTAAATTTAGTTTGACTCGATAAAGTTAGAAAGTTGTACATAAAAATATATTTTAATAATTGTTTTTAGAATTTGGAACAAATAAATTATACGCAACTTTCAATCAACAGTGGCTGCGAATTATAGGTATACTCAACACACCTTATTACATATTTAGTGTCTATGTTCATTGGTAACATTAGTAAATTTATGATATCTTACGATATAATTCAGAGTGCTTCTGTGTTATCTGAAACGCCTGCATACTCAAACCATTCCGGTACGTGAAAGCCATAAATATAGACATCTCGTATGCATCGGAGCCAACTTATCTCTGCTTGTATTTGCTTGCACATGGAATATTCGAAATGGCAATTTTATGCAAATCATATTGCTTCCTACTACGTTACATGATCGGTAGAGTACACTGCCATTAAGGGTAAGTTACAGAACAAATGATTGTATAATGTATTCAGATGACTTTGTGCAAAGTGGTCTGAGCAGGTATCTCTGTATCACCTAATTCTGTTACTAAGTAGCTTTAAATCTTTGTTTCAGAATGAAGGATAAGATATGACAGTGAAATTATAATATACGAAATCATAACAGCTGAGTCTTGAGAACGAGGTTCCGCAGGCATCACGTTAAATTCTATGATATCCGCATAAACAACGTCTACTTATTATCTTACTATCTACTATAGCCGTTAGCTTAGTTGTCATTCCAGTTACGAAAAAAACGCAACACATTCAGACTACCCCGCCTGGAATAGATTTCACACTGTCTCAGAGACAAAGAGTGGTTCTCAACGCATTTTGATTGATACTAGCTTTTTGGTGCATCAGGCGACAGTAAGCGTTTACTATTAGATGAGCCGTATGCTCGTTTGCCTACGTTGTATAAAATATACAGTAAGTTTTATCTTTTATCTATTTAGTTACATATCTAATGTAATAGAAACATTGGTGTTGGTAATAATGAAAAATATTATGTAGAAAACACATTTATTAAGATTTTGTACTAAAAGTACATAAATTATTTACAAACGAACCAATCATTTCAATTGTCATAACGTTATAATTATAAGTTCTTGATTAAATTGATAACCCTGTTGTACTATTTATACATTTAATAAGACTTGTTCAAAAATATTTATAAAATGTAATGTAATGTAAATTTATAAAATGGCAATTGAAAATAAATATTACCATTGTTTTTGGCACATATATGCATATATATGTATTTTAAATCTAATTATTGACATTCTTTATTCTTTATTGTACACACACACACATAATAGAAAAAATTATACAGAATAAATGTAATGTACAAGGGCGAGCTTATCTCTAAAAAGAGATTTGTCAATAATTAGATTTAAAATACTGTACATGTCAAAATTTATTATTGATCTTGGAAACTAATATTATTTAAACTAGGTACTAGGTTTTTTGTTATTATTTGTTAATTTTAAAATACTGTAATATCAATATGAATTGTTATTGATAATTGATTGATTGATATTGTTTACGCTACTGCTTTTTTTGGCCACATTTTTTCATATTTGTCATAAAATACTGTATTACACCAAAATGAACCGTTGTTCTTATAAATGAATAACAATTATACTATTCTTATAAGTACTATTCTTAATAGGCTTTAACACAAAAAGTAGAGTATATGGTAAGCCTTAGATTGTATATTATATATATATATATTATATATATATATATATATATATATATATATATATATATATATATTATATATATATTGTATATTGATGTAACTTTCAAATATCATAATATATTCGGTAATTTCAAAATAAAAAAAAATGAAACAATCAAGATCGATTTAATGTTCTTAAACATTAAACATTTGTTTATTTCATTTATTAACGTTAATAACCGGAACAATTAATAATTAATCATTGTGGAGTTCCTTGGATGTTATAAAGTAAAAATATACGTTTTAAAATATGGCTCTTTGCGATAAACTGAATAAGGGAGTAAATACATAATGGATTATTCACCTAATAAACAGTTCATAGTTATCCTACTATCAATCGTGTAGGTACGTCCTAATTATGAGTTACTTTAACAGATACTTAGTTATTTATTTCACTAAGCAGGAAACATATTTTGAATACAAAACGTCAATGTATAAATAATACTATTATTTGATGTATATTACTGATTAAATTAAGAACCTCAATATTCTTATCTATTTATTGACATTCCATTATTTGAAAAAAAAACTAGCTGAAAGTTTCATGCTTGAAAATATTAGAGACTACGTCTAAAGTCATGGCATTACCACAGATAACATAATATGTATTACTATAGAAAAGCAACTCGCTTTCCTCGATATTATTGCGGAAATTCAGGTAATTAATTACTTTCGTTACACTTTAATGTATGATATTTCTTACATCAAGATATTTTGTCAAGTCTGATGAAGGTAAAATTTACCAACACTCGAAAAAATATTACTTGACATTCAAGTTACGTAATCGAATCTTTTTTGTAATATATTGAATATCCTAATATATTGAATACCTATGATATACAGAAAGCCGTTATATTTACACTAGTGGACAAAATAATACTCTATGATAAGACATGTTTTTACATCATTTGAAATGTTTCATATGTATAGCAATATTATTATTCAAAAATTAAAAAAAATTGGCTAACAAAACTATACAACCTAAATAGGCTATAAATTGCAATACTTAGGAATCTGATTTTACTGCTATTTATACAAACACTGGATTGAGTGAAACTGATTGACCGATTGAGTAGACTAACTTCTATTTCATAATTATTCATCAACTATACGTGAATCGAAAAATGTATATCTGTAAGAGCCTGTGGCTTTTTCAGGTTGGCATAAAATGTATTTTATTGATTTTCAAACATAACACCTAACCATGTGTCATGTTTATTTATCACACAATTATACTAGTGCTTTTTCAACTTTAATATCTAATAAACTAGGTACCTATTTTGAAATACAGTCTGTCTAATAAAGAAATATAAAAATCTATGACTTAGGAACATTCTGAATGAAATTTTATAATCTTTTATAATACTCGATCACAAAAAAAATGTCGCCAGAATATTTAAATATGACGGCCAATAAATAATTTATTTATAATACAATATATTACAATAGATTCTCCTTCAGGAATCTCTCGAGTGCGTGGTAGAGATGCGGTCTCACTCCGTTTAATCCGTGCCCTTCATCAGTGTAGCTCTGTAATAAATAAATATTTACTTAATAATAACAATAATATTACAGATATGTTAAATGTTTTTAAATATTGTAAAGCAAATTCGTTTGCATTTTTTCGTGTACCATAACTTTGTAGGTCGATAAACTAACCTAATAATTAATCTGTCATTACCAAGCTGGTACTCCTATTTTAGTTCTATATAAATTTGATCAAGATGTGACTAGTAGACTTATTCCTAATAATATGATTCAAGTCTGTTTTATTGTAGCTTGAATATTACCATCGTCTGTTTCTTTTTTCCATGAGTTTAAATTACCATTAAATATTTATTCAAGTAAGATAGTCCGCCTCGGTGGTCTAGCGGCTTAGCATACGACTTTACTTCCGATGGTCGCAGGTTCGATTCCTCGGAGAATACATACATTTCTATTGACGAGTATGGTTGTTTACATCGGTCTGGGTATTTTCTATGTATATTGTGTAGGTATATTTTTTAAAAAAAGTATTGTTATTGATTTATATTACTTATTTATACCCAAAACACAGATGCAGAGCTTCTGCATTGCTTGAAAGAAGATGGCACTGTGTCAATTGTCATAAGTTATTATTATAATTACTAATCACTACTTCATTAACTAGTGACTAACCATTTGTTCGAAGTATATATCTTTTATTTGTAGGTGGCGAGACAGTAACATGGCGTGTTGATAATGTACATTATCGTCCGCCGTTCCATGTACCAGGAAGTACCGTTTATCACGAAATGACTCCAACTGTAAACCAATTAAATAGACAACTAAGTAAATAAAACAAAAAATATAAAAGATATCCTTTTTTAGAATAATTAATAATTAACGGTAACCATCGCTTAAATACAGTAACTATATATCAAGTGACAACTGTGATGTCTCATTCAAAAGACAGATATCATGCCTTTTATCCTATAATTTTACAGTCTAATCTGCACCCTATAATTGAAATTTAGCTTACAAAGCATGCTGCTTGGGAACTGTAATAGTATGATTGTGTTACCCAGGCACTTATTCATACATTACATTATAATTATCAAGGCATATTAAGCTTATAATCCCTTGCGCCATCACATTCAAACGGGAAACAAAATTATTACGGCTTAAGCCGAGGTCGAATCTCTAGCTGTGCCTTCAGACAAAAGTCATATCCGTCAGGAGTTCTTTCTTATTGAGTCTTACTATAACCATATACGAGTATACACAGATTTCTTTTTCTTTATTTACTTAAGAGCTTAAAATCACAATAGATCAGTTTCGAACCAATGCTAACCGTAACGCTAACTATAATAACTATTATACAACCACAGAGAAGTCTGCCTGTTTAATAAGCCCTTTTTAAATTATTCTGTATTTGATTACAATTATTTTTTTAATTTTATTTGTGTTCTGCACATTTTTACAATCCCAAGTTAAAGTATTTACTTTAACTTCATAGACATAATGTCTACATGTAATTTTAAGAGGAATATGTGACTGACATATCCTGGATAATTCTTTAATAATATGTTGTCATAATTATGTATACTATTTTTTATCATGACACATTTAAACAAATATGTATTTCATTAATTGATTACATGAACGAAAAGAAAAAAAGAAGTATTTGATAAATTAGGTATTTTGTAAACTTACAGCTTCGGCGGTAAGAAGTGAAGAATCTATATAACCTTGTGGATTATTGTTAGGAGTATCCAGATAACGTTCCGTGTATATTGTATCTGGAAACAAAATTAATAATATTTAATTAATAGATCATTATTAATTATTATATGACACAGTTACCTACATTTTGGTATAGCTTTTTACATTTAACTGAAATGTCTACGAGTTGGTTGTCCACTAGTGGTAACCCTTGCATATAATGAATAGCACCAAGCATATAACGTTATCATGAGAGTTCCTCTCATGTGTTGCTATTCCGAAGGCCGGCAATTTCATTGCCTTTTTGGCCTCGGTGGTCAAGCGGTTTAGCGCTCCCCCTTACTTTCAATGGTCGCGGATACGATTTCTCCAAGGTACAAACATTTACACTGATGGGTATTTGTATCAGTCTTGGTGTTTTCTATGTATGTTATACGTATTTACAAAAAAATATGTCTAAGTATGTCTATGGGTTGTCTAGTATTCGAAACACAAGCTCGGCATAGCTTGGGATAAGATGATGGTGTGTGAGTTGTCCTGAGATATTATTATTATGTTTATAATAATTAATAATATCTGTATATAAATGTGTATCTGAACACAAATATTTGTACCACGCGAGGAATCGTATCCTCGAGCATCAGAACTAAAGCAGTGTGCTAAACTGCAAGACCACCGAGGGCATCGATCGTTATTTAATAGGATCCTATGATAGGTTTTTAGAGCTAACCGTAGAAACGCCAGTCGACAACGGGAGCGACGGCTATGCCGCAGCGGAAGACGTCTCCGCCGCGCGCCAGAGCCAGCGACGCTGCATACCCTCCGTAAGACCAGCCCCAGATGCCCGTGCGGTTACCGTCCACCCAGGGAAGGGTCTGCTGTAAATACCTGCGAAATTAACCATTAATACATTAGTATTTGTATCAGTTATCTTGTACCTATAAAACAAGTTTTAACCAGTTTAACTTGGGTCTAGATGGCGCTGTATGAATTATATGTTATTTAACTACGAGCGGCATTGCCCGAGTCGCGAGTTTGCGTTAGAAATTACCGCGACTTCAGCAGTATTGGCCTGTCCTAAAGGTGGTGTAGGTCAGGCTTCATCTCGTTGTTAGAGCGATCTATTTCGGCCTTCTTAAATGTGTCATTTATATGGGGCGCTACCTCCTTCACAACGAGCACTTTGGCTCAGTGTTTTAAGATTTCATACTACGATATCCTAAAATATCCTATAATTTTTGACGCTCAATGTCTTAAATGAGAGGCTAATTGCGGAGAATAGAGTCTATATTACATTATATCCTATAATTTCACTGTCATATTTGGTTATACAATTCAATTTCTTGTTCTGTATTCTAAGTTCTAATGTAACTGTTAAATGGTAGTTTTTGTATAGATTAAATACCTTGTAATATTGATTTGGTCTTCGATTTCAACGGTCCCAAGTTTTCGGTTGAGCGTGAATAAGTTATCAACGCCACGCAGTCCTGAGCCGCGGCCGTCAATTCTTGCTACCGCTATATTCCAGCGGTTTACTAGCGAGGTGCCCCAGTCTAACAGCCATTCTTGTGTCACGAGAGCTGTATCTGGACCAGCGTAGCTGCGAAATAGTGGATACTTAAATTAATCCAAATATCTGTCATCTGTAAGTTTATATATATATAGTCTATAAGTGTGAGTAGTAATTTTGATAAGTTTTTAATGTCAGATCACCCTGCTTCTGACCAACTATTTTATTCACAAAGAGATCGAAATTACTCTTTAATATTACATTTACTCTTTTGCTCTATATATAAAATACTCACTCTCATATCTCATATTTCTCAATACCAGTTACTTCTATTTGACCGCATTCAAAACCGAGCAGCCAGAATCACCACAAAGACGTTGATTAACGTCTTTATGGTAGACTCGAACCATTGTTTTTGCGGCGAGATATTGCATCTTTGTACATTTTCTACCACATATATCGTGGAAAGTATTCTGAGGAATTGTTCGGATTAATACTGGTTACTAAATTTCACCCTTACACCACCCGCCAAAAACTAAGATACCATCCTGATCATCTGGATAAATGGCGGTCCTCCACCGGGCGTTTTCCCAGAAACTTTTTGCCACGTTGTGCTTGGCAAAAAGTTGTTGAAACCGTCAAGAAAACCAGCGCTGCACAGCATCTTGTCAACATACGTTGAACAGGGTCCTGTTGCTGCCTTTAATTAAGTATCCTTTGAATGGATTTCTTTCGTGTAATTTAATTGGCAGCAATAAATTATTATTTTTTTTAAGGATAGAGCTTACTCCTTCTTAAAAGGCCAGCAACGCACTTGCAATTCTCATGAGCTCAGGCGGCGGTAATCACTTACCATCAACTAAGTGATTACCGCAACATACTATGTACGTGCTACATGCTATAAATAATAAAAATAAACACATATATTCGAGACATACTATGATATTGTAATATCATAGTATGTGTCATAGTGTGTATCACATAATGGTGTCAATAAATTTCTTCGTCAGAAAGTACATGATACAAATTAGTCAAAACTTACACATAAACAAGCAAAGGCACGTTAGTCAGCTCTGCGTAATTAGGTGGAGCTTGAATAAGTACATCAGCATTATGCAATCCAGATTCGGGAGGTATGGGCACACGGAACGTTACTGGAAGGCTCGGTATTTCTTCCAGTTGAGACAACAGTTGGCTATTGTCTGCCCAGGTTCGAACGTAGTCGCCGTTCTGAAATATGCATTTTTTTATCTAACAGGAATGGCAAACAAGCTGATAACCCATCTGATGGTAAGTGATAACAGTCGTTTATAGCCATAAACAACATCACGGACATCTTGATGATGTGCCATTATGCCCGTGGTAAACTCTTCCACATTACAAGCAGGAGGACGTGATAATATGTACGTAAGGTGATATGCCTTTTTTTAATTGGGTTGTTTGGGCCATTATCAGTTGGTTATACCTGTAGCTATATGTCATATATATACCTGTAGTATCTATTGTTCTCGCCTTTTTTCAGAGTTCGCTACCTAGACCCGTCAGGGACAAGAATTGAAGGATATTCTTAGGAGCGATGGTTTTATCTCCACAGGACATGGTGTAAATTTTTCGAAGGAGATATTACGTTTATGCATGAGTGGTTATGCCTTGGTAACCTGTAATTTCACTGCTATATCTTAAATCTGTTTTTAAGCACCTTGACAAATTAAATAAATGAGTATATATAAAAAATTAAAACTTTGCTATTAATTACTGTAGTGTGTATTTTATACATATAGGTATAAAATTATATAATACCTACATTTATATTATAGTGTGTTAAAGAATATGTTTCTTAAAGCGTGTATATAAAATTAGACAGTAATCTGACCACGGCGCTGTCATGAGCGCCTATCGCATTACTACCTAATTTTGATCCCAAAGGTTGCCAGTTCAAATCAGATGGATACCAAAAAAAAAATTTATATATCCAACAGAAACAACTAAAATTAACAAAATTAATCCGCGAGATGCAGAAGATTTGCCTCCATTGGATTCCATACATGGATGCCGAAAGTCGACAGTTGACAATGCAATTGACTACTTGGGATAACGTTGTAAAATTACATTACATTTATTACAAACATTTTAACACTTACAGTATTGTAGATGAATACTTGTGGTACATTCGGGCCAGCGCAGGTAATACTGATCAGGTCACCGTTGCTAATAGTTGCATCATTAAAGAGACAATTCTTGTCATCACTTAGGAGGCAAGTGAAGCATGATACTACACCAGAGTTGTTTACATTGTATATGTGCTGCTCAGATGTGTCGTTTGAAGCTGTTGCCTTGTACCAGCTGTAAATATAAAGTTACAAAATCAATTTACAGTGTATGACTAAAAGCTTTTGGTCACCGTCTATGAATATTGGATACATTGCTACCATACGTACGATAAAACAAAACGTCACATGTTTCCGTGTCATTCTACCGCGGTTTTACTGTATGTACGGTAATGACGTATCTATAGAACTTTACTACTTGTTTATACTACCAGGCATTTAGTATAGCTACTGTAAGCTCAATTATACATAGTTGAAATAAATAAGTTATTTCTGATGTGAAGTAACTTTACACGAGTTTTTGTATATAAAATCATACAAATAATACGACAGAGACAATATAGTATTTGAACTTAAAAAGACCTCACTATATTAGAATAGTTTAAGATTGGTCAAGTAGTCAGTTGATTTTTTAGTAAAAAGACTATATAATTATTGACAAATTTAATTAATGTAGTATATGAAACTTACATTACGTCATCAGAGGTCCATTTTAATATATCGAGAACAGTTTTTCCAACATTAACACGATTTTGAGTCGACCATTCGCCCGTCCCTCCTTGTGTCACTTGAACTATTTGCTTGTATCGCTCACCGTTCACTGTCTGAAAATTGACACAATGTTAACCTAAACGGTAATTAAGTAACGAATATCAAAAAACATTGTATATGCGACTACATCTGAATATAGGTATAATTTTATAAATTATCTTGACATCTGACACGTAACAATGCAAAAATCATTATATTAATAGTGAAGTAAAATCTTTGTACCTACTCCTTTTTAGGAAAATTGCACAGACTGAGGAGTATGAAATTGCGCACACTAACAGTTTATAGAGAACGAGTGCAGAATGCTAATATATTTTTTAATTATGCATAAAAAATACATTAAATCAATAAAACTAACATTACATCCGCTGCCGTGTATTTGATATTTAATTTGGCATATCAAATTAAATATTATATTATATTACTAGCTGACCCCGCCAACCTCAGAATTAAATAATATGTCGTGGATTTTTTTAAGTTTAGTAAAGCAATAAATTTCTGTGTTCGTTCCTGTCAAACAGGGTCCGTTTCCTGTTTGACAGGTCCGAACAGTTTGTATGGGAAAATAAAATTGTTGTTTTTATTATTTTCTAAGCAATTACCTCATCTTTAACATCGTTTGAATCTTCCCTGGACTTCCACTTCCACGAATATTTTAAGACTAAAATTAGCCAAATCGGTTCAGCCGTTCTCGAGTTTTAGCGAGACTAACGAACAGCAATTCATTTGTATATATAGAGATAATTCATAAATTAGTATAGTACCTGCTTTCAATTAGAGATTGTTATCACAATATCCAAATTATCCGAAATGGCAAAGTATGAACGGTTTTAGAGGAGCTTTCTCCTACGTTTATGGGATAAGAAGATTATGGGATGAACTACTTCTCGAGGATTTCTCACGTGACTACAGCATGGGGTTTTTCAAGAAGGATATATTAAGGTTTCTTAGAGTCGGCAACTCGCACGTAACACCCCTAATATAGTATCTCATGCGTCTATAGGCTACGGTAACCATTTATCATCATATGGGCCATATATATATTTACCACCATCACCATTAATTTAGCCGTATGATAATTTGCCCTCCTTATTGTATAATAAAAATGAGATGTCACATCATAACGTGCTATGTGTAGTGTCGTCTATATATATAGGTGATGGTTAACACTTGCCCTCAAGCGGGCTATCTACTTGTTTACCATTCCAATTATATATAAAATATCCCGGTGCGACATTTAAAACGCACATTACAAGTTCATAAGTAAGGCCGAAAAAGAGAATCATCACACAGTTCATTACTGTGTGAAAAATGATGTGTATATATATAATAACGAGATGACTGCGAACAGAGATGACAGGAAAAGAAAAACATATTACACCAAACCTAAATAAATAGGAAAAGGAAGTAGCCAATGATGATGATTATGGTACACAGTTTCATTACTTACTTGTGGCAAAATGGTAATGAAAGCCGTTCCTTGTTCGTTGAAAATTATTGGAATGTTGTCAATCCATCCATTTACTTCATTATATGAATATATCTGCAAATATAAAAAAAAACAAAATTATGCATTTAATAATAAATAAAAAAATTTACCTGTATTTTACCTTTAATTGGAAAGCTAAAAAAAATCTCAATTCTGCTGTATTTTAACATAATCAATGTCATTATTTTTCTTTTTGTATTAAGTATGTATTAATAACGTTAAATTAAACATTTTAAAGTATGTATCTATTATGTAGTACTTAAAGAATTGCTTAGTTTTGAAATTACCTTTATTGTACTGTATTCTATACATATTATTATAAATAAAACAATCTCTATCTTTTATTTTTATTTTTCTAAGAAGGAGTTAAATTTTAGGCCCGTTTGGTCAACACGGGCATAAACCATGCTTTGCATATTGTGACAATACTATTAAATTACTTTATATTTACATTATCACAATAATAATAATTCTGGACAATTTACACAGCGCCATCTAGGTTTTAGATATGCAGAGCCTGTTTTATAAGTACTAGACAACGGATAGAAATACTTAAATATTTAATATCATTAAATCAAACTAATATGCTAAGAGTATATATATATATACATTTATATTCATAAAAGATAAATACCCCTGCGCAGTTCGACTGGAAAGTGCACAGTTCCACAATTAAGGAGTTCTGTGCTCGGTTCGTCCATACCAATGCGATTGTGTCATTCGTCACGAAGCGCACTGGCTTTAAAATTGGCCTGTAATTGTAAAAAAAAAAGTGTATATTAATCAAATCCAGGCTTGCATCACTGATAACTAATAATTTTGTATGCACGGTATTTTTCAAGTCATTGTTTGCATATTTGTATTAGAAAATTATAATAATATATATTAACATATATAATTATATTACATAATTATTATTGCATATATTAGAAAAGTTCCTAAACCAATTTTTATGTGAAACTTTTTTTTACAAGTTGTAGTCTGTAATAGCACAGATTACATAATATTACATAGTAATAGTAATAGGAACGATAATCGTAAACAGTTGACACTAGGCTTCCAAGTAATATCGAACTCTATTCTTTGCCTGATGATGCCTCGTTTCGACGTGTCGCAATATTGATGAAGATGCAGTAACGATCGGAATTTGATTACTAATAGGGAAGGTCCTAACGCTTTCAATAGCGGCGGTCAGTTTTTACACTGTATATCTGTGGTCTCACATCTGCTAATAGTAGCGGAAATAGTATAAAGCCATTAAGTAATGAAATTACTATATGGCATCTAATTCGATAAAATATTGTTTTTATCTAAATAATAGTCTTTATCTCAAATAATAAACTATTGCAATTGCTGTTTATAATAAAATTTTAAAGTAATAATCGAGACAAAACGATCTTATAAAACAGAGAGGGCAGTGAGTCCACCTTGTCTGCTATTCCGTTATAGCCTTTATTAGTAAATTAATACGATAAAAGATCGACGACGATGATAGCACTTCAGTCCTCTACTAACAAAGTAAACATAAAAATTTGTCAATAACGTAAGAAAATAAAATAGGTGTTACAAGCATTGTAGATTGTTACATAAATTCAATGTTGGTTATAAAACATGATATTAATCTCTCTGTTATCTAATTCAATTAATAATAATAAAGCTAAAGACGCCTGCATTCAATTATTATTTTTATATTAATTTAGTGGCTTAATAATAAGTAAAAAACTTACTCGTCAATTTCGTTGGGAGCATTGAAGACTGTACTCTGGCCAGATGCCAGATCCTGAATAGTGACAGTAACTGTAGGGTTCTTTGTACCAGACTGAAAATGAATGAACACACATTGATAAAAACTATATCAATATTTAACACTCGGTTTCACATTTCAAAGATGATGTAGGTATTATAATAAGAACTCGGAATAATTCACACAGCACCATATAATTCCAAGCTAAGCAGTCAAGCGATATAGAAATACTTAATTACATTTATTTTTTGTAAATACATAATATATAGAAAACACCTAGACCAGTACAAACAAATCATACGCATTTGAAGTAAGATGTTGCATAAACCGCTAAACTACAGAGGTAACACGATAAAACGGTAAATATCACACTATAATAATTGGGAATTTAAAAGCACTAGGAGTGCGATCGATAGGCAAAATGGGACGGTTTTTGAAGATTTTTGCGCATAATAAAAAGGGGTACGATACGGTAGAGTTTGCTACTCTACCAGTAACAATTTCCTACAACTTCAATGCCTAATACATGATAACGAAGGTTCTGCTGGTGTAAGAGAACATCATGCAAAGTGATTTAGTATATACTTATATATCTCCATCGCCGGGCTATAATTTTTTATTCCTTTTGCAATATTCTAACGTCTTTTATAATATATAAGATATTATAAAAGACGTTAGAATATTGTAATTTCTTTTTTTTTAATTGGTTTATTTTATTGGGTTATTTTTGGTAAAAAATTCAAAGAATTTTTTACCAATTATCACAAAACATTTGTTCATTCATTTTGTACCCGACAATTTCCTATTTGAATAAGTCTTAAACACCCCTGATGTTTCAGGCGTCCATAGGCTACGGTAACCATTTACCATCAGATGGGCTGTGTGCTTGTTTGCCACCATAGTATAAAAAAAGTCAAATTTCGACCATCGAGCGACCAATAGTTATCTACTTTAGATATTTATTTAATTTTATACTCACCTTTGGGTATCGAATAGAGTGGTGTAATGTGTACTGATGTTGATCTGAACCCGGCACTCCGTAATGAGGTACATTCATTATTTTCACTTCGGTATCGTTGAAGGTAGCATAAGCCAACTTCGTGCCATCAAGCGAAAACCATAACGCGTTATTTGATGAAAATACCTCCTCTGAAAATGTATATAATGGACTGTTTAATTATAAAACAAACATAAACATACCGACACGACTGTTCTGCCAGATTGGATAGGCAAAGGCACTGTGATGATGATTAACTAGCGATATTGTGATGAACGAACTTGACATTCCCACATATCGCTCGGTACATTTTGAACACAATATAGTCAAGGCCCTATAATAAATTTCTGGTTTTTGAAAGTTCGTCAGAAATAAAAATTGATAGACAGTTTCTTTTTTGTGTGTGTCGTCCAGATTTGAACTCACCTCTTGAGCATAATTCAAAGTAGTAAACTGTTAGGTCACGTCGTTCTTTGCTTAATTATAACATGGTAGAATAGGAATTATAATTATAATACTAATACGTCACCCTACTTCGCTTCTTCTACAAATATATAATACTACATGTCGTTTTATAGATGTAAGAGATCTAACTTTAAGACAGGCTAAGGAAACTGCAGAGACCTGGCTTCTAAAACTTAACTACTCGCAAACGGAGAACATTATTGAGTCACAAAACTAAGCATCCCCATTCTCACAAAATAAATAACTCCAAAGACATAAACAAACACATCCAAACGCATACACAGACACACACATACACACATAGCCGCACACACGCACACACACACATTTAATCTTTATTTTAATTAATAAATTACCTTATAATATTAAATTTTATGTAGACGCTGTATTAGAACTGACTGTCCTAAAATCAACTAAATAGGTAAACATAGCCTGGCCCCTGCGATACAAGCTATGCTTAGTGCAGAGACCGTTGTAAATAAACACAACTGACCACTTTGTTTAACAGTCATAGGTTAAGTTAAGTTAAGATCTATATTTGTAAAGTTGTGTCTCATGTGAAGTGTCTTTTCTTGAAATAAATATTATTATTATTATTATTATTATTATTATTATTATTGTTCTTAATTGTACGTAGATATGACCTCACTGCTCTTTATACTCCTATTAGGTATAACATAAAAGTAACATTTAATACAATTTTTACCAGAAGTACACATTAGACATAATCGTCTGTGTTAGTTACTGAGTCTCGCATATTTTGTAAGCTATGTTTGTTTTGAAGGTTGAGATAAGGTAGAGAAATTACAGGAGCTAATAAATTACAGGTATAAACATCTTAGTCCTCCGAAATGGGAATGGATGAGTCACATGACAACGTGTCTATAGGTACTATTTTGAATCAGGTGATAACCCATCTAAAGAAAAGTGGTTCCCCTTGCTTGTAGTCTTAAATTGGTGCATTTTTTTTATGAAATAGTATAATTTAGCAAACAAGCTGACGGCGCACCGATAAGCTGTAACTATTACGTGAACAGTATTACAGATAGCACATTATCATGTAACACCCGTGTTACCACTCATGCGTTGCCATTCCACCCTACAACCGAATAACCGAATAACTTCACTTGGTCTTCTACGTCAAATTTTATAAAATATAAATTACTCACCTTCATACACCCAGTCAGGAATTCCATTATAAATTACATCCAATTCACCCGAAGTAGTGATTTGTTGTGCTTCACTGGAATCATTCAAGTTGGACTTGTAGTAGATGTTATTCCGATAGACAAAAGCGTACGCGGTACCCGATGGACCCCATACGAAGTTTTGAAGCAAGGGTTCGTCGGACCTAGTTGCTAAGCCCGGAGGTACAATGGAAACCTGTACTTGGCTATCGACGTTGACAGAAGCGTACAACGCCAAGAAACTATGTCTGTACACCTGTAATTAATGAGAAATATTGGGAATATTAGAAAAATATCTCCTTTGTAGTTTACTAGACAAAGGCAGCGGTGTACCAGCGCTACCGTGGCAGATTTCCTTTGCGAGTGTAGTGACCACAATTTTATTACTTTCTATATATGTTATATGAAATAATATTTAATTATCTAAGTAATAAATAAATATACACATTATTGAAGCGGAATATTTATAATTTACAATTGTTACCAGCAAAAAAACGTCCCTAGAAACAACTAGTGTAGATATTTATTGTAAATCAAGTTAATTAATATTATAGGTATTATATAAATGTAAATGGTAATGGTAATAATTTAAGGCGTTTGATTGACGTCGCTTCGTTGTCAATTTCGCAATCCATTCAATAAAACAAATTAAATATAATGAAAAATGAGATGAACAATGGAATACATATAAATGATGATATTGATCTTGCTATTCATTCATATGTATAATATGGCTATCTGTTATAACAAAGTTGACACCTATATCTACAAAGTCTATTGATAACGATATTGATGGTAAACAAACACACTCACCTGCAAAAACAAGCGACAAATTTTGCTTATTTTATTATTGAAGTACACTCATATTGTGATCCTTCTTTCCAATACATTACTTATAATTTACTAACTACTTAAAATTGGAAGTAATTCTTAAATCCATTGCATAGTATTAACAACAAGTAGACTTGATCAATACTTATTAATAATTCTTTTTTATTTAGTCCTAAGAAGTGGTCTGGAACGTAGTATTAAATCAGTATAGGTTTAATACTACTTTCCAGTACTTTTAGTATAAAATGAAATGTGTTTTACTGTCTGTTAATTTGTTACGTTTTTAGGACTTAACGTACCTTTACGAAGTTTGACATGAACATAAATTGTGTCAGGAGGAAGGACATAAGGAATCTTATATATACCTATATCAAAACAAGACAGTGACGACTAAACTAATTTTTGTCGCGAACATACATTATAGTCATAATAATAACCCTGAATAAATCACAGCGCCATCTAATCGGAAACTAAGCAGAGGTAGTGTTATGAATCCTAGACAATTGATACAGTAACTTAACGTATTTATTTTTTAATAATACGTAAATAATATACACAGAAAACACCCAGATACACAATCGAACTCACGAATACAAATGTGGACATCGTACTAGGAATCAAGCCCGCGATCATCCAAACCAAGCAAATTAACCGCTGGACCACCGAGACCGTCAAATAGATTGTATTACGAGGACTGATATAGGCTAGCTTTTATTTAAAAAAATACAGATATCATGTGACAAATTTAGTAATACAATATGTATTTCTCTTCGAGTTAAGAGTCCTCCGCTGGACGATAGCTGCATCTCTCATTAAAGATTATAAGATCGTCAGTTTATTAATATACAATTGTACAAAAAAACTTACTCTCCGAACATCATAAGCTATCGCGACTTCATCGCCATCCGGAGATAACAGCGGGCTTCTCTCGGATCGCTGCAGAATCTATAATAATATAACATAACGATTAATGATGAACCAATGGATATGACAAAAACTTAATAATGATGTCTTTATATACAGATTCTGTATGTACCGACAGACGTAGTCCTACTCGGAAAAGCAGCGTTATCTATCGAGGAAATTTGTGTGTAGGAACCATTTGAAATGTACACATAAATGGGTCGTATAGTCGTTTAGAACTTAGACGATGAATACACGTAAAAAGAAATATCTGTATTCGGATGAAATTTTGTGTGTATATTTCCCTATGCTTTTCCGTACTAATTCTTCCCTAAGCGGACCATAGACGGTCTAATGTTAGCAAAAGCAGTACGAATCAAAAATCAATAAACGTATTGAATTTTTCGTTTAATATATTGAATGTTATGTTTAGTTTCACCAAATTAATTCATCATCAAATCATAATCGTAAGTTTGGCAGATAATGTCTCGGTGGAAATATGTATTCAAATATAACTTGGCACGTAGATATAATTGTATAAACTTACCTCAGATGTGTTTGAAATAAGTATTCTGGTGCTATTGTTTTCGATATTGAGAGATATTAAGTCGCCAGATTCAGTGCGGATTATAGCTTGATTTCCTGTAATTAACAAAATGGTTTTTTTTATGAGTAATAAATAATTTTACCAGAAGCACATTAATTTGTAAACTATCAGTATGTTTGTTGTAATACAAGACATTTACAGAGTAATTATGTACAATATAATGTATCTTAAAATGGTAATGGTATACAACATTCGAAATTATAATTAATGGCACTAATTTTTCCACCCGACTTTTTCTACTGTTAGAGTAATGTAAGCGTAATGTTTGCGAAAAATAAAATCCGAATAAATAATAATCGAAACTTATTTACATACATATTTGAGAAAATTTATATTTCTATAATAATATTCCCAATGTCATTTGCTGGCCAAAAATTACTACATGGTTTCATGCTCCAAAGTCGTAAAATTAGAAATAGCGGAAAGGAAAACCTTTAAAATACCTGTAGACCAAGTTGCATCAAACGATGGTGGGGAGTACTTGTCATTAATAATTGACTCCAAGTCTAGTTCTGGAGGTGGAGGTTCTGTTGGTTCAGGTGTTGTCGTTGTAGTCGACGAAATGTCGGGCGACGTGTCGGGCGACGTGTCGGGCGATGTGTCAGGCGACGAATCGGGTGTTGGGTCGGGCGATGGATCAGGCGTCGGGTCGGGCGACACTGGTGTACCGGTTGTCGATTCACTGGTACTTGATAATGTTGATGACGTTGGGTCTTCTGTCGTTGATATAATAGGTTCAGCATCAGCATCATTGCCCGTAAATACTACAACTAATGCCACCACTATACCTATAACGGCTAACATAGCGACGACTGCTAATACAAACGTTATCCTTTTTTGTCTTTTCTTAGACACTAGAACCTGAAAATAATTAGAAATGTAGGTATTATTTAGACTTTGTAAAAAATCGTCTGCGTTGGTTACTCAGTGTAACCTATTTCAGCAGTCAAGCAGATTGCTATGTAAGATGTTTCGGTTGAAGGGTGAGAAATTACAGGACACGAGGTGTGCCTATCGTATCTTTTATACATCCAAATATTATTTGATACTCCTTTTTGAGCCCTTCTAAGACTGTGAATGTGTACATAATGACTATATATCAAGTTTTTTTTTAATAATAGTGTCTAGTAATCTGGCTCCAGTCACACGAGGCATGACATCTTAGCCTTACAGAATGGCAACTTTTGAGTGATATCACCGGCGTCACATGATAACGTGATGTCTGTAGTATTATTCATGTATATAGGATGACGGAGGGTTAGTACTTGCCGTTAGGTGGGTACTCAGCTTATTTGGCATTCCATTAAAAAATATTATAGTAGTTGAGGTGACAAATTGACCAATCAGGCTTGTATTGGTCGAGTTGTTGCCTTTAGTAAACAGACTCAGATAAAATTATTTATAGATAATAAGTTCTCTGACAATTAAAATATCAGACATAGCATTGTACTTCGTAAAACAAAACTAGAAACAGAAACTTTAATACATTTTATCTCAGAGTAATCTGTAATCTTGGTTTTACTCAAGAAGTATAAAACCCAATGTTCATTTATTATACATAATATAATAAATGAACATTGGGTTGATGAAATGAAGATTGCAAATGTTTAACCGGTATTTACGCTAACATATTCATGAGAAATGACATAACAGCAGGAGCCATATACTCTACTGATCTATCGGTTTAATACCTTTTATCCCAGAGCATCTCCTCTGAATTCGTAATACAAAGCTAGAATCCGAAAAAGTTTCTGTTTCTAGCTTTGTGTTACGAAGTACAATAATAATAACACCAGTATTAAGTTATTTTATAACAAGGGATATAATTACTTGAGCACACTGCTTGTATGCTGTCTGGTGTTGTACCAGAAAAATTAAGCAGTGTCCTGGATTTCTTTCTGAGAATATTAAACTTTGAAAACACTGTACTAGTAATTTGAGAAAATATTTTTAATTTTGAAATGTTTTTCGGACTACTCTAATGCTGTTGGCCGCAGCTGGCCTTTACAGCTTCACCGGACTATAGGGGGCGAGTGCAGATGGCACTCCAAACCCGCCGAAGGACTTATTGAAAAGTACATTATACTTATACGATGTAAATAGTAGGTTATATTAATATAATACAAACCTCACAAAGCTACAAATAAACGGGCGAAACCAATAAAAGTCCCAGTTAAAGATAGAAGTTATTAAGTTTCAATATTTGAATAACAAAAATAATTATACCAATAAGACACTTGCACTATATTAAGAATAATATGTCTACAAGTTACTGACTAATAAAGAATAACAAGTATTACAATAGTTCAATATAATGTTCCGTCTTTAGTTTTAACACAACTGTGTTCGATATTAGCTATATAATAACAGCTGTTACTCATCATTCATTCAGATTAAACATCAATTGAGATAACGGTTTTTTTCTTATTTCCACATTCTATGTTACCCAAGGCTATCAACCTAGGTTATCAGTAGTTATTGACGTTTTATCTTATTCAATATGATTTTAAAAGAACCTGCTCCATATAAAGTTGAAGATTATCTAAAATCTATACGTATTAATGATATATTTAATGTGAATACTAAAAAAGTTTGTACCTGGGTTTGACTAGACTAGAAACTAAAGTAATATCAATTTGTATTTTTTTATCTATCTTCTATCGGTTCGTTATGTTTTCACTAGTAAAAATCTTTAATAAATTAATTATTAAAGTCCAATATATTCAATAATTAAGTAGGTATATGCCCAATTTAGTAACCGTTGTTTTCTTAATCAGTGGAAGCATTAGATACAGATTGACCCTCTTGACCAAATAAATTATATTCGGCACAAATGTATACATTATACTGTGATGACCATATAAATAGTATATCCTCACTACCATAATAATGATAACTACCATGTGTGGAATTACATTCTCAACTATCGACGTAATTGCAAATGCAACATTGGACAAGATCTCTAAGGATATTTATTTCAATTTAAACTGACTGGGAGCGAGCCTATTGCACTCCTCGGAAACCAAATAAGCTTTACCACAAGCAACAATTTTTTTTAGCATGCCACATTTGTAAATAATTCATTAACACAGTAACAATTTGCAATATTTTTTTTGTACGATCACAATTTTGGCAAACTCACATCACGTTGTGTTGTGACATCTATGACTCTTTATTTTTACTATGATGGTGGCAAGAATACAGTCCATCTGATGGTAAATGATTACCGCAGCCGATGGACGCCTGAGACACCAGGGGCGTAACGTTCGCGTTGCCGACCCTCAATAAACCTTAATATTTATTTTATTTATATAATTTATTTTAAAATGTTAGTGCAGCTAATATCTGAACTAAGGCCGACCCTGTATCTTAGATGCTAGTTGTTCCTATAACATTGATGTATGAAGTGTTTTCTAAAAATGATAAAGTAAATCCATCTAGAATTACTTGTGTACTATATACCTACATAATTAAGCCAAATAAATGTGGAAATTTAAAATCTACTTTACATTCATCAGCAGATTGATTTCTAAGGTATATAAGATGCATAAATTAATTGAATTACACGTCCAAACTCACGACGACTGTTGAAAATAAATCGTAATATTATCTAATTGTTATGTAATAGTTTTATTTTGTACTAGCTTATTATTTAACTCTATTTTTCTAAAATGAAAGAATTTTGTAAAGTAAAAATTGCCTTATTACATCAGCTACTTGCCAAAAAGTTCCGTCAAAATCGGTCCAGCTATTTCAGAGATTAGCCGAAACAAAAACAAACTGACATATGATAGACAAAAATTGTAAAAAACGTTATTTTGGTGTATGTGCCGTATATGTATATGTCGTATTTATATATATAGTAGTAAAAAACTATTATTTCAATATTATAAACAGACACTCGAATTTTATTTATATGTATAGATGCATAGATAATACAATTATGATTCGACATATACCTGATCACTGGTGCCCATCTCCATGGTGGAGTTTCCATCTTGCGCCATTTTTATATCCTTTTATCTGAAACAAATAATTACGAATTATTTTATAGCTGAAATAGGCGAAAACTAAAACAAAAACTAAACTACTCCACCTCTCTACCAGAGGTAGACTGTATATAAAAATTTTGTTTAACCTATTTTACCCCGCCATTTCCATTAAAGCTATGTTTCACGACGTAACAAGGTATATATAGGAGTGTTTAAATTTAAGAATAGAATAGAATAGAAAATCATTTATTCAAATAAACTTACATTGAAGCACTTTTGAATAGTCATCACATTTTTTTTTTAATCTACCGCTCATTCGGATAGCTTTCTCATCACAAGAAGAACTAGCAAGAAACTTGTGTGTTGCTCTTTTAAATAATTTATTCTTACTTATAATTTAAGTTTAAGTGTGAATACAAACTACCGATTAGCAGTAATTCAATTAAATAATAAAATAGAAAAACATTCAATACACAACAATTGGTTAAACAATTAATAAGAGGAAATAAGTCATAGTGATTGAAGCAGACACACAAGCAGCACCCATTCACGAGTATGACGGATGAGCCAGCCATCACTGCGTTCGACCATATTTTAGGGAGCCCAATCGTATATACATTTTAGTGAGCATGATGACCACGTTTTTTGCCATCTTATGGGATTCACATTTTAATAAGAATGCATGCGGCAATCAATACAAAAACCGCTACGCTTTCATATTTCTAAAATAATTGAATCATGAAAGCAATGAGATAAACAAATTATAACGTTGTATGCTAATAAACTAATAATTTACTTGATATGTTGTCATCTATGAATTCGTCTATCCTGTAATAGGCTTTCTTACACAAAAATTGTTTAATATAAGATTTGAATTGCCTCTCTGTCAGATTTAGTGCCGATTCTGGCAGTTTATTATAAAGTCTTACGCAATTACCATACAATGAATTACTGACTTTGTGCAGACGGCATTTAGGTAAAGTTAGTTTATTTTTTGATTTTTTTACAACTCTCTAAATTCTTCCGTGTATACATGATATTCTCATAAATGTAAAGTAACCAGATTTGAATCTTTAACCACGAAATGGACTCTCTTGAACCCATACCATAAATAGAACGTATGACTCCCTTTTGTAAAATAAATATAGTATTTATAGTTTTTACAGCGTGCCATATGACATAATGGAAATAACTAAAATATACAAGTTTAGCCGTCGCCACGTCTGTTAATTGCCTAATTCTTCTAATTGCATATGCAGCAGAACTGAGTTTATTGGCCAATTTTGAAATATGGGGCCTCCATTGTCCCCTGTTATTACTGTATCATTAACAAAATTTACTATTTCATCATTAAGCAATAACTGTGTATTGTTCTTACATTAGGAAGTGTAAATTTTACATACTTTGTTTTGCTGGAATTTAATAATTTTAATTTAAAACCAATTTAATATAGCAGACATAGCACAATTTACATCGTCTAATTGATAAGTATCATCCGCTCCCAATTTTCTCTACAGGCGATGGTTGCCTCTTACTATCAGATGACTTGTTTATCATTCCAATTACATAAAAAACTTGATAAATATTTTTTTCTGTTTCGAAAGAAAATTGTCCTCGCATTTGGGAAATATTTTGTATGTAATAGACGTAACTAGGTATATAGGAATATAAAAATAGGATTTGTAGGATTTTACTGATAATATCAACAATTATTGATTTCTAAAATTATTTCGTCATATCATAATTAGTATATTAGAAATCAGTCTGGATACTAGGTATAACAAACATGACTTACTCAATTATGTTAATTGAGTTGCTGTAATTAAATTTTTACTCAAATAATATATAATTTTTCCAATACTTAAACATCAAGTCACACGTATCAAGAACGGGGCCTATCAAACTGAAACGAATAAATATAAAAAAGTCTACGTCATGCACCACGTGTTTATATTTATCATAACGTAATGATTATCAGTACATTAATATTGAGATTACTACAATTATTTTCAATGTCAAATATTTTAAACAAAAATATATACATTTTTAGTAGCACTTGTGTACTATGTATTTTTTAAATAAATGATAAATAGTATGGTGCACTCGCCTTCGCTAATATATATATTGGCAGTGCACTAGTAGAGTCACCAAGAATTTACCACGTTAGTTTCCAGGGGAGACAGCATGGAGGTCCACCTGACAATTCATATTTAATTTTTGATGATTTTTTTTTAATATTTATACCTAGAACATAGGTTACAAAAACAATATATTCAATATACAATTTGCCATATAATATTAACCTTACATTATGGTAGTAAAATGTCTTTATTTCTTTAAAAGAAAAAGTTAAATGTCATTAAAAATATATAAGAACATTAACAACATATAAATAAAATCTATAGTACATACGCTTATTCATTTAATAAGCTATATAAACTCAAAAAAAAATTAGCAACCGCGCGTATTCATATTAATATAAATGATCTACTTATATTTTCTGTATACATATAATATACACTTTATGTATTTTGTTACAAACGGTATATGAAAATCATCACTCACCTAAGTATTTTCATAACTTTTTGTATAATATTTCACAGTAAATATTATTACAGTGAATACGTACGTATATTTAATACAATAAGCGAGAACAGTTGTAGGCCGGTGAGCCGTAAAGATTAAAGTTGATGATACGTGCGTTATAATGATAATATTAATCTAAATACATATAATATTAATCTTTGTCTTATCAACATGCTTGCATTAAGAAATCGTCAGTCTATCATAAAAATATTTGTTTAAACTTGTTTCACGATCAATTCTAGTATGTATTAATATATAGCTAGTTGATAGAACTATTTTTTAATTTTTTTATTTGTGGAAAAGAAATTATTCCTTATGTAATTATGTTTTACAATAAACAACCAACTCTAATTATGACGAATAGAGTAAGGCATATAAATTCTTTATATTCTTATCTAGTATATAAGTTTGTAAAAATAAGGTAGAGTTGCTTAAAAAATGCATATAAAATACACCAATTAAGCGTGGTTGTGCAGACAATCATATCCTTGGGCGACATACCAGAAGAGACGGCAGCCATCGTTTATTTTGTTTATATAATATAAGAACCTGTATTGAAAAAAAACACAAATAGTATATTTTCATGTATGTATATAATTGCTTAATTACATACATGAATTAATAAAAATATTTACAATAAATAATTAAAATATACTGTACCCGGGATATAGTTTACAGAGGTATTGCGTGTAAGTCGACCAATAACTTCCATTACTAATACACCTTTTGTAACTAATTGTTAATGGGGGCAGTATTAATAATCGGGTTGTACTATATTATATTGAAGTTCGTTATAGTACAGATAAGATAATATTATATAGTTATATTCATAAAAAAATGAAGAATAGAATATCTGTAGAAGTTTTTTTATTTTCCCACGCAAAACGTAATGCGACACAGATTCACATTATTGCACGGGGTGCAGCCGCAGTTGGATGAAGAGCGCGTCATATCTGTTTGAGATGTTGTGGTGTACCTAATACCAAGATATATACCTCCTTCTTGAAAAGTTGCATTTATATTTATTTACCTGTATCAGTATTTAAACCGGAGTATTTTTAATATGTCAAAAGTACATAGTATTTTAATTACTGGTTAAAAAAAATGACCAAAAAAATTATGACTTGCATATCGTAGTATATACATTGTCTTCATTATATATTCTTAGGCGATTTATACAGTAATTTAGACTGGAAACTGAAATAGCACATTACAAAAATAGATATTGATATAAAAATAGATGCTGTAACAATATATAACGTTATTGTCGGCTATTGATATTTTTATAGGCCTACTTTCTACATAAAAATAGAGAGTCGATTGAACAGTTGAGAAAATCATTTCATAGATACATACAAACGAATAATTATCTGTTTCTTTCAGAATTATAGTACTATTTGATACTGCTTACAAAATGTAACTTTGTTTTTTTTTTGACAATTAGACCATAAATCATGTTAGGGCGAATATATTAGCATAGCTTGAATGATTAAAATATTTTTTATTTAGAAGATATTGTTGATTGATATGTTTTAAAAATAAAATATTTGAGTTCTTGATATTATTTTCAGGAGATAACAGCATTCCTAACTTTACAACAAAATAGAAAATGACAGTCTAAAATAAATATTCATAACAATAATTCACATAAATTTATGATCAATTAACGTATTAAGATTTATAACACTGATAAAAGCGGCTGTGTTTGTTTATCTACCTAACTATAGAAACTCTCGTCTGTCTGCCTTGCCAATTAAAATATGTTCTAAATCGCCCATATCTATACATAGGTATAATTCAATTATAAAATCGTGACTAAGCTAAAACTGTATATTTGTATGTTAAGGATTCCTCTAAAAATGGTTACTAGTGTTAAAGTATAATAATGTAAACTAGTGTAAAAATATAGTTCAATATATATTCTGAAGTAAGCTGAGATAAATAATATTTTTTGTGAACATTTTTTATGCGCTACGGCCAATTTTATGGACTAAATAAATAATGTAATAGATACTGTATATAGGTGCTTTATATTTTGTTGTCATTTATTAATTTCGTTGACAGCCTCGGTGGTCTAATGTTTTAGCATACCGCTTTACTATCTGATGGTCGCAGGTTCGATTCCTGGTACTAACATTTTGTATTCATGAGTATGATTGTTTGTATCCGTCTGGGTGTTTTCTAAGTATAATATGTGTTTATTTACAAAAAATGTATCCATATATTTATATCAGTTGTCTAGTACCGTAACACAAGCTCTGCTTAGCTTGGGACTATATGACACTGTGTGAATTGTTCTGAGATATTATTAGATATTATCAATGGATGACATATATCATGTGGACAAGTTGCAAGTGATGGGCAATGTACAAAAAGTACGTTGAAATGTTTGGAAAAAGGAATTTGGATTTAAAAAGTCATCTGCATTGGTACCTCAGTCTTCAA